GGGGTTTCACCATGTTGACCAGGATGGTCTCGATCTCTTGACCTCGTGATCCACCCGCCTCGGCCTCCCAAAGTGCTGGGATTACAGGCTTGAGCCACCGCGCCCGGCGAGATGTATTTTTTTTTAATGGACATAGAAAAAGACACAGAAGGAGCAAATACTGATGTGGGAGAATGTGTTTAAATTTTTTATTTTCAAGTTTGAATATACTATCAGTTTTGAATCATTGCATTTTTCCTTTTATTTTTTGTTCACATGTAATAATTGTACATATTTATAGGATAGAGTGATATTTTGATATGTATATGTGTAATGATCAAATCAAGATAATTAGCATATTCATCACTTCAAACATTTATCATTTCTTTATCATAAACAGTCAAAATCCTCTTGCTTTTTTAGATGCGTTTATAGCTTTTCAAAAATATACAATAAACTATAGCAAGATATATTATTTTGATAACCTTAAACTTCTCTCTTTACTATGCCAAAAGGAAATATTTTTATCCAACTTTCTGATTACTATTTAGAAAAATAACATGGAGAGGGATTACAAAATTCATTAAAACCAGCAACAACAGAATTAAGAGATGTCTCTCAAATTGGTAACTGCTGATTCTACCTTGATTTTTGTTTTAGTTTTCCCCAACAAAGTCCATGACCTCTTAAAAATTGTTAAAAGTCTGCCTGTCAAAATGATGCTTGACAAATTATTCCTAAATTGAGAGAAACAAATAGGCAGCTTTCTCCCACCTTTATGATAATATACCACCATTTTTCATCCCTCTTTGTCATCTCTTCATTTCCGCACTTATCATATCATGTCATGTTATCTCTAGTTCCTAAAGACTTGGGCTGCACCCCTGTATGTAGCTGAATATTCTGCCCCAGCATAAGGCTGACACATGGTGGAAAGGACTCATAATTTTATAAGTAAATGGATGAATAAGTGAAGCCACTCTCTCAGAAGGAAGCTAGGAAAGGAGAAAACTGAGCATGGTATCTTAGGGCTAATAAGAAAGTGAAAGAAACAAAGCATTTTAGGAGCTTCACAAGGGAGAGAAACCTTTGTGTGGAGTCAAACAGACCCTTGTATAGCTTTAAGCATCTCTAGAGAAAGACAAAAACCACAGGAGACCAGGAAGAGCCAGTTTAAGTTAAAAGACTCAAAAGTTAAGAGTGCTTATTTAGACTCGCAAAACCAAGGTGCAAACTCCCAGGAAACAATCCTGGCTTGGGATATAGCAACAGCAGTTTTCAGGTCATGGTTAAAACAAACAAACAAACAAACAGACTAAGCTAAAAATTCTTGCAGGCTTTGGCTGGAAACACATAGATGTAAAAGAGAAAAGCTCAACCTAAAATAAATCCCCAAAAAATGTTAGGATCCCCTTGGATTTGCATATTGGAGTGTGGTTCCTATTCATTCTGAGAACTGTTCTTGAGTAAAACCTCAATGTAGTAGCTGGCAATATATAAGACTAAATCATCTTACTCATTCAACAAATACTTGAGTGCCTGCTATATGCAGTCACTATTCTAGGCACTGAGATTAAAGCAATGGGCAAACTGACAAAACTTCCCACTCTCAGGAAGCTTGCATTCTATTGGCAAGAGAGGGATGGATTAGGAGGGGATGGGATGGGATGTCATGCAGTAAGAGCTATGGAAGTAAAATAAGGGACAGCAGGACTGGCAGGGGTTTTATCAAAAGCAGATCTTTTAACCCAGTGGTTTTCAAACTTTAGTAAGTATCAGAATCATTAAAGTGTTTATTAAAGAAAAGGTTTATTTGGGGGCCCCAACCCCAGAGTTTTTCATTTGTAGGTCTCAGATGGGACCCATTGATTTGTTAACAAGTTTCCAGATTATGGTGATGCTGCTGGTCCAGGAACCAAACTTTGTGAACTAATTGTTCTAACCCCAAAGGATTAGGTAATCCCTATTTCACGGGCTTTGACTTCCTCCTTCATTCATACGTTCATTCATTCAATCACTTACTCAGTGTCAGGAGCTTCACTAGGCAGTATAATTAAACACACCCTGTCCTCAAGAAATTCACAGGCTACTGAAAAAAGACAGGCACAAACTCAAGTAATTACAATAGGGTGCTATAGAGGGCCATAAGAGTGGTATGTACATGAGCCAGAGGATGGAAGAGCAACTCATTCTATGCAGGAAAAGGAGAGACTAAGGGACTGTATCCCAGAGGCCCAATAAGGACATCTCCACAGGCAGGTAAGGCGTGGGAGGGAAGAATTCCAGGAAGAAAGCAGAACGTACAAAAGCGAAGTTGAGAGTGGTAGGGGAGTCACAGAAAGTGAGGCTGCAAAGGCAGGCAGTGGTCTGATCCCTTTCTCATTCCATGTTGAGTCTGAAATTTATCTTCGGAATATTAAGAGTCAGGAGTAAGGGGTGCTGATAAGGTTTTGTTTTACAGAAATCTTTCTGGATTCACAGTATCTCCCTCTGAGGCACTGTTTCCTTCAAATCTAGCATCCGGGGCCTCAAAACATGTACTTAATAAATGTATACTGAATTGAACTGAACAAGCTTTTTTTTTTTTAATTATTGTATTTGGGCTCTGGGATACATGTGCACATCCTGCATCCTGGAGGACTGTTGCACAGATACACACATGCCATGGTGGTTTGCTGAACTGAACAAGCTTTTTATCAAATGCCCTCTTATGGATGAGGCGGGTCACCTTCCCTGCAGGACTCACTTTGGCCAAGAGAAGACTTGTAAAACAGGTCCAGCAGCCTCAATTATTGCACACTACCTGTACAACCAGAGTCCCCCAGAGATTAGGGCAGACCTTCATTGTTTACTTGTCTACCTCACCCATTAGACTTTGAGCTCTTTGAAGTCAGGGAATATCTTCATAGACTCTGAATCCCCACAGCCTTAGCAAGAGGCCGGAAACATAGTAGCACTCCAAACTCCAGTAACGTTGGATAATGAACTGACTGAATAAGCAAATTTACCAAGGTAGATCCAAGAGCTCATGCAGGTGAGATTATGGATAAGCTTTAGGGAAAGTATGGAAAGTTTTCAGCGTCCATGATCCCAAAACTCTTTTTGAGAGGCTGAGTTTCTAGTCGAGGTGGGGTGGATTTCATATGCACTTGATTTAGAATTTTCCAAATAAGAACCAAAATGTTACAAGTGTTGTGGTAGAAATCCCACTGGGCCAATAGGAAGAAGTCAATTCTGCTTGAGAGGAGGGACAGGATGAAGGCCAGCAAAGACTTCACAATGGGGGAATTCTTCAGTGGACTCTTGAAAGCTGAATAGATGCTTGCTAGCTGCCCATTTGGGGGCGTAAATGCAAACTTTTGGAGCTTTTAAAGCTGGAAGTGACCTGCTCAAGGTCACACAGGAAGTAGATGAAGCCACAAGGTAAAAGGGATGAAGTGTCTCTGTACTGTTAATTCCTGCTTTCTTCTGACAGAGTTGAAAGAGAACCCAAAAATGTAGGAGACAAAATTAAAGATTTTTCTCAAGACAATTCTTAAAGTCAAGACTAATGAATCTCGATTTTTATTAGTAACCACAGAGCTAACCCTTCCTTCACTGTTCAGTTTCTGAAAGAGTAGAACAATTATCCAACGACCACTATTTCTCAAGTATTCTTTCAAAACACTCCCAGTAATGGGTACTGCTGAAACAGGATAGCGATGGCTACAACAATCATGTCTTTTCAATGGAATAATGAACATAAAATAACTATAATTCTCCTTTCCCGGTTTTCACTTCCAAGTTACAGAATATTCCGGGGTGGGGGAGGGGCTGCGTAAGTCAAGTCCTACCAGCACTTATTTTTCAGGGAGTAGAGCCCTAAAGGTGACTTCAAACCTGGAAGGGGTCATTTTTCCATGCAGAAGGGACTGGGCGCCGCTTTGCTGTGCCGCCTCGTAGCGGGGCAGAGTGAGCGCTGCAGGACTGCGAAGTTGGGGGCGTACTCCGTCCCGGACTGGGACCCGTGTGGCCTCGCGGCCCCAGCCTGGCCTGGCTGCGCCCCGCCCCTTCCCTCTCCCGGGTCTCTAGAGTCGCCCGGCGTCTGAGCCCCGCGACCCAGCTGCAGCGCGCACTGGGGGCCTTTGTTGGCCAGACGGGAGCGGCCGGCCTCGCGAGGCGGCTCCCGCCCCACCTTACCTGGAGCCTCCGCCAGCCCAGGCGCCCGGCCCCGCAACGCGGGATGCATGGGCCCAGACCCCGACTCTGCCCTGCCCGCCAGCACCGCCGCCACAGCCGCGACCCAGCCAGGCAGCCTGGGAAGCGAGGGGTACCAGGCAGGAGGCCGGCTCTCACCTTCCGCTCTCGCTCAGCTCCACTCGGCTCCTTCTCCTACTCCTCCCGGTGGTGGGTGCCGCCGAGCCGGGAGTGAGCGCGCGAGTGTGCGCGAGCGGCCGCTTCACTTTCTCCCTCCTGCCGCCGCAGCGCCGCCCGTGCCGCGGAGCCCCTCAGGACAGGGGAACTGCGAGGGAAGGGGTGATGGGGGTCGGGAGGGAGCCAGGCAACACACGGGGGAGACCGGGGGGCTGAGGGGCGGGGTGCGAGGGACTCAGATGGCCTTTGAGGCAGGAGGTGGGAACTCGATGCGGAGACCAAGTTCTTCGAGGGGGATCCCGAGGGCGCGGAGCTTAGAGAAAAAGGGAATAAGAGTCTGGGGGGAAAGCGTCTGTGGAGGACGACTGCAGCGCCAGTGAGGGAGGCGTGACCGGCGAGAAAAGGGGCGGGAGCGTGTGGGGAAAGCCGTGAGGGGGCGTCTACTGTGCAGCCGCCACCTTCGGCTCGGTCTGCAGCCGCAGCAGGGCTGCCTCCCCCGCCCACAGCCGCGCTATTGTACTCGGCCCAGCCGACAAGACTGCCGCCCCCACTGGCTCCTCTCCCCCTCCCCCTCTTCCTCCCCCTCCGGCGGAGCCTCGGCCGCCCCGCCTCCCGCAGGTGGGAGGGGGCGGGGAGGGCCGGACCCACCCGAGGGAGCGAGGCCAACCCTGGCCGGCTGGAGGGTGAGCGCCTGGGATGACGTCATCGGCGCGTAACGCCAGGGGCTGGGGAATCACCCGGCTGCTGCGTGACGTCATCGCCTTGTGTCACTCTTCTCGGTCTGCTGTCGGTGGAGGGCTGTTTCCCTGAAGAGTTTCTACCAGACGATTTTGGGACGATTTGTGGGAGGGCTAGTGGTGTAGGCAGGATGGAAAAAGACAGCTAACTTTCAGGGCTGAGGGTCTTCTTCAGAATAACAAAGCATCACTGCATCTATGAGCTTGTCAAGACCTGAATTTGAAAACGATCCGATGCTGTGTCGTCTCAGAGCCAGACATGTATTGTGTTTTCTTTGTGTAGGAGGTGGGAAAGGGGGCGGAGGAGGGAGAAAGACAAAGAAATGATAACGGAGAAGTTTGAACTATTGTAAACTGACATAGGAAAAAAATGGGCTTCCTTTCACGCTTTTTCCCCTACTTTGCAGGGTACTTGCGACCCAAAGATTTCTTTGCCTGAGCTCAGATTGTGTCTTTCCCAATACCTCCTGAGCAGCATTACTAGCATACTTACAGATTCAATATGTGCGAAACTGAGACAGCATTAGAAAGGCTAAGAATCCGGAATCAGATTGCCTTGCTTCAAGTCCTTGCTGTTCAAATGTTAGTGATGGGACCGTAACATTTCTAAGCTGTAATTTCTCTGTAATAATAAATAGTACCTTAACTAGGTCTTCCTAAGCCTGAGTTTTACCATAGTAATAATAGTAACAATCAAGCCCTTTAGAATGTTGGCTATTACTATTATTGCCCCCCAAAAATTGTTTCTTATGTTCCTTTCCGGTATCAATGAATGAGCCACCATTCATCAGTCCCCTAAGCCAGGAACTATCATGCTAATAGATCCCATTCTTCCCCTCTCAACATCCATATCAAGTTGGTCACCAAGTCTTGGAGATTCTCCTAAATATTTTTTAAATCCTTGCCTGTGTTTTCTGCTAACGCCACATGAACAACTGAAGCAACCTTTAGTCTCTTCAAATTCAATCTCTTTTTCTCACTGGTTACCTGAGTAGCCTTATAAAAGCACAAATCTGATGATGTCCCTGTTTAAACACCAAAAGGATTTTATTGCTTTCAGGATAAAGTCCAAATTCCTGAACTTGGCACTTTACTACCTGACTGCTTACATTAGCCTTTCTAGCTTTGTCTCACACCATTTATTTTTTGCTCCAGATGCACTGAAATACTAATGTTCTTTGAATACACATTTCTTCATGTCTACGAGCTCTTCCCTACTTATCTGGCTGACCAACACCTACTCATTGTACCAAGCTGAGTTCAAATGTCATTCATATTCATATTCATTCGACTCATATTTCTAAAGTTTCCCTAAGTCTTAACAACACTATAATCCTGTAGTATTTCTATGTCCTTTATGGTAATAACTGCATTTGTGTATCTAATTTCTTGAGATCCTTGACAACAAGTCATATTCCTATCCATATCCTCAGCACCTAAAACAGTGTTTGACATATACCAGGAATCACTATGTTGTCACAATGTATTTAATAAGGCCAGGTGTGGTGGCTCAAGTCTGTAATTCTAGCACTTTGGGAGGCCAAGGTGGGCAGATCAACTGAGGTCAGGAGTTTGAGACTGGCCTGGCCAACATGGTGAAAGCCCATCTCTACTAAAAATACAAAAATTAGCTGGGTGTGATGGTGGGCACCTGTAATCCCAGCTTCTTGGGAGGCTGAGGCAGGAGAATTGCTTGAACCCAGGAGACAGAAATTGTAGTGAACTGAGATCGCACCACCACACTCTAGCCTGAAACTTCATCTCAAAAAAAAAAAATTATTTAATAAATGTTCATATTGTGTTTACTATGTGCCAGATACTGCTCTGAGTACTTACAAACACTGTCTTTAAAACTCTATTCCCTAAGGTAGATTCTGTTGCTATCCTCACCCATCTTATTGATGAGGGAACTGAGGCACAGAGGGATTAAGTAACTTAACCCAGGATCACAACCCAGTAAAATGACTCTAACCTAGACTGTCTTTTCATGATCTCTGCAGTAGGCAAAATAATGGTTCATCCAAAATGTTCACATGCCAATCCCTGGGAACTATAAATAGGTTACCTTCCATGACAAAGGACTCTGCAGATGTGACTAAATTAAGGATTTGGGGAAAGGGACTCGCCAGCCTTTGGGAGCAGACTCCAGAAAATGGAAAAGTTAAGAAAATGGACCCTCTCTTGGAGCCTCTGAAAAGGAGGAGACGGTATCCTGATGATACCTTAATTTTAGCCCACTGACATCTGTTAGGACTTCTAAACTACAGACCTGTGAGATAATAAATGTGTACTGTTGGCCAGGCGCAGTGGCTCACGTCTGTAATCCCAGCACCTTGGAAGGCCAAGGCGGATGGATCACCTGAGGTCAGGGGTTGAAGAGCAAGCTGGCCAACATGGTGAAACCCCGTCTCTACTAAAAATACAAAATTAGCTCCCAGCTACTAGAATCGGTTTGTACCCAGGAGGTGGAGGTTGCAGTGAGCCGAGATTGCACTTAAGCCTGGAGACAAGAGTGAAACTCTGTCTCAAAAAATTAAACAAAAAAAATGTTTATTGTTTTAAGCCACTATGTGTTTGATAATTTGTTACAGCATCCATGAGAAACTAACACAATCTCCAATCAAAGGTGACTCCTCTATACTAGGAAATGCTAGCAGGATGAAGGGAAGTAGAACTGTCCACCAAAGCTTCAGCTGAAATCAGAGATGGGCTAGAAGTGGAATAAATGAGTAGGGTAAGTGTATACAGTAAGTATACACTCCAGCCCAGGAAACAGTGTGAGACTGTGTCTCAAAAATAAATGAGAAAGATCATTATTTACCCAGTTTTTCCAGTTCAGGGTCGACAGTGGCCAAAGCCTATCCAAGCAGCTCAAGGTGCAAGGCAGGAACCAACCATGGATAGGATGCTACGCTATTGCAGGGTGCACTCACATGCACACCACCACTTACTCAGACCAGGACAACTGAAACATGCCAGTTAATCTAATGTACATGTCTTTGGGATGTGGGAGGAAACCAGAGTACACAGAGAAAACAGACAGAGAGAGTCCAAACTACACTGGTGACCCAGGCTAAGTAAGTGATTTGCCTTTTTTCTCATCAATATTGGAATAAAATAATATTATTCAAGGACCTGTGTTTTACTTTAAAAGAAATTGCCAAACTGTTTCCCAAAATGGTCGTACCATTCAGGGTCCTTTTGATGTGTCCTCATCATTCTTTGAGCTATTCCTTGCTTTTTGGTCTAAGATATTCTAAGCTCTTCTCACACTTTCTTTGACCCAGCCCTCAAATGAGGCATTACTCTAAAGAGCTCTGATTCTTTTCAATGAAGAATGGTATTTCAGTGTTAAGATCTAAGCACTGGCACTCATTATAATAGATGCCACTGTCCCCAAACTCAGACCTACTTTTGCTCTCTTTCTGCCTTTAAGAAACATACTGTCACAAGTTCTACAGCTTCGAGGAAATGAATTCTGCCAACAACCTGAAGGAGATTGGAAACCTCTGATGAGAATGCAGCCCACCAATGTCATGATTGCAGCCTGTGAGACTCTGAGCAAAGGACCCATCTAAGCCATCTCCAGACTCCTGACCCACAGAAACTGTCAGATAATAAATATGTGTTGTTATAAGCCACTAAGTTTGTGGTAATTTGTTGCTGAGACATGGGAAAGTTATATGGGGCGGGGAGAGGGGCGCACAGATGGAGGGGAGGAAAGAAGGGGAAGAAGAAGAGGAAAGGAAGAGCTCTGGAGACGTTTTATATTTCCTAATTCTTTCTCCTGCCTTGAGTGTATACATGAAGGCTGGAGCTGGAGCAGCTATTCAGAAACTGAAGAAAAGGACAAGAAAAATCACAAAGTGTTTTGTTGGGTTTTTTTTTGGCAACACAGTTTCACTCTTTTACCGAGGCTGGAGTACAGTGGCATAATCTCTGCTCACTGCAAACTCTGTCGTCTGGGCTCAAGCGATTCTCATGCCTCAGCTTCCCAAGTAGCTGGGATTACAGGCGCACGCCACCATGCCCAGCTAATTTTTGTATTTTTAGTAGGGACTGGTTTCACCATGTTGGTCAGGCTCAAACACCTGCCCTCAGGTGATCCACCCATCTCAGCCTCCCAAAGCGCTGGAATTACAGGTGGGAGCCACCACACCCAGCCCCAAATCACAAAGATCTTGAACTAAATACTTTGAGTCATCAACCTAATGCCAGGAACTACCTGCCTCCAGAATTTCTGTTAGGAGAAAGAGAAGTAGGTTTTTTAAAGCTGTTGCTTCAGCCAGGAGCGGTGGCTCATGTTTGTAATCCCAGCACTTTGGGAGGCTGAGGCAAGCAGATCATGAGGCCAGGAGTTCAAGACCAGCCTGACCAATATGGCGAAACCCCGTCTCTACTAAAATACAAAAATTAGCCAGGCGTGGCATGCACCTGTAGTACCAGCTACTCAGGAGGCTGAGGCAGGAAAATCACTTGAACCTGGGAAGTAGAGGTTGCAGTGAGCCGAGGTCACACCACTGCACTCCAGCCTGGGAGACAGAGCGAGACTCCATCTCTAAATAAATAAAGCTGTTGCTTCGCAGTACTCTTTCACTTACAGCCAAAAGCTATTCCTTAATGGTACAGTTGGTGTTTTGTAAGTTTCCAAACGTATGCTTTGTTTTTGTTTTGTTTTAACTATCTTTTCACTGTTGTTTCTTGAACACAGCAAGCATCCTACCAACTCAGGGCTTTTGATCTT